CGCGGTCCCTGATCCTTTGCCAAGCTTGTTCTAAGTAGGTGCCTTAGACCACTGAGCCATCTCTCCAGCCCTGGACCATCATTCTTAACTGTCATCATTTTTGGTGCCACTCCTGTCTCATAAATCTTCAATTAACACTTGATTTAATAAAAACTTTGTGAAGCCTAGCCTATAAGAGGTTACATCTTAAGTGAAGAATTCATGGAATAAAAATCATTGCCAATACACTATAAGCAAGTAGACAGACAATAAGTGCTCATTTAAGGAGAGCTCTACTGCTGAACATGAGAAATCGTGGCCAATGGTTCTACAGGAAATAGAGTCACACGAAATTCAAGCCAGAATTCAGGGTTTAGAAAGTTATAACGATGTTAAAATGATGACATAACTGTATTGGAATAGATAATAATTTTTATATACAAATAAATATATATTTTTGTATATGAATAAAAATAAATTGTTGTACAGGAAAAAATAAGATCTCCCCTGAAAATAAGCCCTATTGTGTTTTCTGTAACAAAAATAATAAAAGACCTAGTCTTATTTTCAGGAAATAATGATATTAGCAGCCAGAAAGGTTGAGGGGGAAAAAACTTAAGAAAACCTTTTCCCCTTCTGCTTCACATTCACCTGAAATGCCAGCAAAAATACTTTTAATGAATAAATTTGTAATAGCAATGATAACCACAGTACACCATCCAACAGCAAACTAAAAATTTCTAGGAATTCCCATAAGACAGGAAGCAGATGAGCTGAGAATGACAAGAGTAGAAAAACCACATTCCAAAATGTGCACAGATTAAGTCTGACCATTTAATAAGCAAATAGCAGGGGTTTTTAATTGTTTCCTTTTTAATAAGGAACTAAATTCAGAGAAACTCTTGAGCTAAAAAAATGTTATACAAAGACAATAAATCAGGACAAATCATTAAAGAAGTGCCTTCACAATAACAAGACAGTAGTAAGTACCCTACATGTTTATACCCAAGTGATTTAGTCACAGAATTACATATTGATTGTATGGTTTATGTTTACTTCCAGTGTTTCTGGATTAAAACACGTTCTCTAAAAATAAACATTTATTTGCTTGCAGTTGGCAGTTATCTTGTACAGGTTCCAGATGAGAAGGAAGCAGCCTAAGGTAACAGATACCTCCACAAGTGGTGGTGGTGTGGTGCTGGTGCTGGTGCTGGTGCTGGTGCTGGTGCTGGTGCTGGTGCTGGTGCTGGTGCTGGTGCTGGTGGAGGCAGCGGCGGTGGCAGCGGTAGTGGTAGTGGCAGTATGAGTGTGAATGGGTATATAGGGTAGAGAGGTATGTTTAGAGACTAATTCTGGTTTTGGATTTATAAGAAGTAAAGAGAATGAATAAAAAAACACCAAAAATCAATAGTTCTTATTTTGAAAGGAATTTTTAAATTGGGAATGTAACCAAAAAAGCCTTAAGGAAGACTCAAAAGTTAAATAAAAACTTCTATCTAGGAAATAGAAGGCACCAGCTTTCAGTATTAACAAAACAATGAAAAATATATACATACCTCTACATTTATTCTCTCCTTCCTCATTCCATTATAAATTATCAGGTTACTAACTACCTACTAATGGCCAATTCATAAGAAAATGGGTCTGAGGGCACATCTTGAAAGAACTTAAATCCTTAGGTTATCCTTTTCTTCTCCCACCTCATTGCACTGGATCATTCCTGCCAGCTAGTTGGCCAAGAAGTCTAGCTGCCACATATCCCCAACCCCACCTTCTAAAAAAGAAAGAACATCTCAAAATATTCCTGGATTCATTACATTCACAAGCAAACATTTTGTAAATGGCCAATGTAGCTAAATTCATCGACTAATTCAGTTTTCAAATTAAAAGATATATTGTTTAATGACAAAGGAGCAAGGGCATGTAGCCCCCATATATACACCTAATTTTTCAGTCTAGAGTTCTGTTCATGTGCTGTCAAAATAATGTGACCTCCACATAAATATGCAACATTTACGAACAGCCAGATTGCATAAAATTATATATATTTTAGAATAATTGTTCCCTTTAAGTTACCAGAGTTAACTGAAATTAAAGTATCTAATAGAGTGTCGAGTAATTACTGCATTAGAATCAATTATCCTCTTGAACTGAAACCACTTTACTAAGTATTAACCAGTATCACCTAACAACTGCAAAAACCCTAAGCTAGCATCTACCACTTTCCCCCACTTTTATACAGTGTAAGACAGGCAATCATGGATGCTTATATAATCTGCAGCTATAAATGACAGTTACCCTGAAATATAAGCTTAAATTCAAGTGTCACAAAGTGTGTGTGTCTGAAAATTGTATTTTCATTAGGAAAACATTCAATTGACCCAATAGCAAAATAGCACAATAAAATATAAAATTACAAAAAAAAAGAAAAAACTGCTTTACACTAGCCTTAAAACTGTCAGTACTCTGACCACAAAACACACTTGTACTGGATATCCACCCACTATACATCAAGATTTTACTATTAACAAAAATTTAAAATGTTCTTACATGTAAGAATAATTTTCCACAAATCAGGCATCTTGGCTTTCAAACCTGTTAATCCGAGCACTCAGGAGGCTGAAGCAGGAGGATTACCATGAGTTCAAGGATAGCTTGGGCTACATAGTAAATTCAAGAGCAGCCTAAACTAGAGAGACCCTGTCTCAAAAAAATCAAAACAAACGTTCTCTTTGCTGTAGATTTTTCATCTGATATGGAAAGAAAGTTTAACTTCCTAAAAGTGATGGGTCTATGAAAAAGGCACATCTTACAAGAATGATCTTCACTTACTTAATTTGATTATTTGTTTTTAGTTTCTTAATGTTACTAGGGATTGGAACCCAAGAGTTCAGACCTGACGCACATCCCCAAACCTTTTTATTTTATTTTTTTAATTTTGAGACAAGGTCTTGCTAAATGGCTCTACTGACCTCAAATCTACAATCCTCCTGACTCAGTTCTTCCTAGTAGTTGATATTACAGGCATGTGTTATTGCACCCAGCTCTTGATTACTTCTTAAAGAAAAAAAATTTCAGATTAACAAAAATTGGTGTTATTCAAGGCTCAGGCTCATATGTGATCAACTCTGTATTACTTACCTGTATGACAACATTGCTACAGATCAAATTTTCATTCAAATACTTTCTACCTAAAATGAACACAGTATATGGCAAGGACAAGGAAGAATGCTGAGTCTGTATTACTTTCAAAAGTGTCCAGCAATGTATAAAAAGCTATAATTAAACTGGCTCATTTTCTTTTACGGAAGAGCCTTTACAGGCTCAACAAGAATTCTGCACAAGGCACAACAAAACCACACTGCACACGTAAGAGCTTATTAGTTTTACTGAATAGTCAATTTATTAATAATTTACATGGAATTACGTGACCTTTTTCCATTTCTATCTCTTCCATTTTTCTTTTTCATTGTTTACTATGTTCATGAGTTTACACTCTCTTAGAAGTAAAAAATGGTAATATTCTTGATAAGGGAAGAATAGAAATAACTGCAAGTACTCTGACCATGTACAAAGATCAAATAGGAATTGACAGAAGAAAAAAATTACCTTTTGGATAATCTTCCAATAAGAGGTTGAAGTGACCTAATTGACAAAAGAAATCAGATTCCACTTTTCCTTCAGCTTTTAAAATTAGGGATTCGTAGCAGCGAATAGCCTAGAAATAAAAATAGAAATATTTAAGAAATTTAAAGATAGAATCCTAAAATACATTTCCTCCATGAGATACTGCACATATCCTTCATTTAATCACCCAAGAAACCAGCAAGTTCCACTTCTAGCTCAGACATATTTGCTCTAACATTCTTTAAAAGAAATAGCTTCCTTAACTAAGTATTATCAAAAGAGTCACTAGCTACAGAATAAGTGCTCTTCCTATCTATAAAGTAGAAATAATAGTGGCCAAATCAAATAATGTAGAAGCACTTTGATAACGTTACTCACAAATGGCAAAGCTAAATTATTGCTGTGGTCCCTGTTGATATAAACAAAGAACCTTCAAATACAAATAATATCTATCTTTCCCCCAGGCAAGCACTTTATTGAATTATATGAGAATTCCTACAATCTCTAGAGTAATAAAAACAGTTACCATTTAAACTGAATGGTTACTTTTTCCAGAACCTCTACCACATCTAAAATATTATAAACTGCCTTTCAGTTATCTTATCCTTGCTATATATTTCAAACACACTAATTCTATTCTTAACCATACTACAAAGTCCAACACAAGCGTAAGCACTCATTCTCACATTTCCTTCAAAAACATTAGTTAATTTAAAGTTATCAACTTGGGGAGTGGGGATGTCGAAGAGACTGTAGAGGGGAAAAAAAAAAAAAAAAAAACAGATAACAGCTTCATCTGCTAAAGATTCTAGTGAACTTACCCTTTCAGACTAGTAACATTTGAAGGGTTGACAAAGGGATTAAAATTAGAAAACTGTTAAGGTTTCAGAGTGCTCAGTACGTAATAGGCACTTAATTGTTTTTTTTCCCCCTTCTTAAATAAGAAAAGAGCTCTAATTCTTCAAAGCTTCACAGTAATTGCAAAATTTCCCTACTAGAAACTAAATACTATTCAAAAATGCTCTCTTATAATGTGTCCCAGAATCATTAAAATAAAAAAAGTCTCAGAGGACTGGGGATATAGCTCAATGGCACAGAACCTGCCTGGCAAACTCAAGGTCCGGGAGTTTGATTCCCAACACCAGAAGAAAACAGTCTCTGAAAACACTCCCAGAAGAAAGGGACATAGCTTCTATTATCAAGCAAGTTTTTCAGGCTGAGGATATAAGCTCAGCAGTCTAAACGCCTGCAGCACAAGTACAATGACCAGGGTTCAATCCCTGGTACCACATAGCATGCCAGCCACGGAAGCCAGGTGTGGTAGCGCACGCTGTAACCCCAGTGCAGGGGAGGCTGACATAGGAAAATCACTACAAGTCCAAGCTGTGTAGTGAGACCCTCTACTAGATAAATAAATAATTTTTTAAAAAATGTATAAAGAGCATTTAAGGAAAACAATGGAATAATTTACGATATTCATGTAATAATCTAGAACAGTGATGGCAAACCTTTTAACGCTTTTAATGATACAAGTAGTCCACTACCGCGTGAGTGCCATAGGTTCACCACCAATGATCTAGAGTGAAACGCAGCATTTGTATAATTAGTATAATTACTTGTTTGCATTTAAAATTAAATTCAGATGAACTTCTATAAACCAAAAATATTTCTGTTAACAGGACTTCTTTTAAGCCAGGCATGAGCCTGAAGTCTTGGTTACTTGGGAGAATGAGGCAAGAGGGTCATTAGTGTCTAGGAGTTCAAGACAACCTTGAGCAATGCAGCAAAACCTGCGCTCAAAGGGGAGAGGGGAAGAGGGTGGGCTGGAACTTCAATATTTTTGTTTGTACTTTTTTTTTCTTTCTATGAGCGCAAGAAAAATCATGCCCACAGAGTATGTATTTATACATAACTGCAGGGGAAAAAAATGACTGGAAGACAAATGTGAAAAACAGAAAGTCTACAGTTGATCCATATAAAAATCCCCCTTTTTATGTTGCTCACCTTCTCCATATTTTCTAGATTTTTCATAATTAACCTGTATCATTTTTTCATGTAAAACCCATTAAAGAATTATTATGCTAGCCTTTACAAGTCATCCTGCACCTTTAATGTAAGGATACTTTGAAATTTATATGGAAATCATTTGTAATTGGGTCAACATCATTCAACAGAGTACTATCTGCAAATATTCAAAATCTGTGCTATCCACTATGGCAGCAAGTAGAAGGAAACTTTACGTCTGAGTATATGAAACATGGCTACTGCAGGTAAACAATTACTAAATTGTTTCATTTTAATATTTTATGTTTAAACAGGTGACATACAGGGCCGGCCAGATACTTCAGCATATTAAAGCACCTGCTTAGGCAGATGCTGGGACCAGGGTTTGATCCCTGGTGTGCCGTGCCGGCTCTGCTCCCAGGGCACGCTGAGATGGTGACTGAGACTAGGTGTGGTGGCACGCCAGTAATCCCAGCGTTTAGGAGGCCAAAAACAAGAGTCTGATCTGTGTAGTGAGACCCTTGTAGACCCTGCACTAAATAAAATACAAATAAAATAAAAAAAAAAATAAACATACAACCAATAGTTACCATTTTGAACAGTACATATGTGTATCATTTTTAAAGCTGAAAACTGGGCCAGCCAAATACTTCAGCAGACTAAAGAGCTTGCTGAGGCAGAGCGCAGCGACCCGGGTTCCACTCCCGGTATGCCATGCCAGCCCCACCCCCGGGGCACACTGAGATGGCGACTGAGACTGGACATGGTGACACGAACCTGTAATCCCAGCGCTTGGAGGTTGAAAACAGGAGAACCACTATGAGTTGGATCTACATAATGAAACCCTGTAGATCTTATACTAAACACATTTAAAAAAAAAAAAAAAAAAAGGGCTGAAAACAAGTGAATATTCAATCCACATGCAACATATCAGGAAAGCAAATTTTCTTAAGATTATAAATGAAGCTGGGCATGGTGGCACATGCCTCTAACCCCAGCATTTGGGAGGCTGAGGCAAGAAGGATCCTTGTGAGTTTGAGACCAACCTGGGTTACAAAGTGAACTCAAGGATAGCCTGAACTGCATAGCAAGACCCTGTCTCAAAAATAATAATAATAATAATAATAATAATAATAATAATAATACATGAAATACCTATATCACTAAGAGGCAGAGTATTCTGAAGAGGGAATGACCAAAATTTTCCACAAAAATCATTGTTATGTCCTATTAGCTATATATAGCTGGTGGGCTGGACATCTATAATCTTAACCACCTACTAGGAAAACAACTGAGGAGAAAATTAAACAGTTAATCATTAACTCCTAAAAGTATTAGAAGAGAGAGCAAATGAAGATGTCTCCAGCTAGGTGTGTCTTCGCCAATCACAGTACTATGTTCCACAATTCAATGTTTGGGCTTAATATCTGCTTTATTTTCATTATTTGAAAAATCAGTTATCCTGTGACAGTAACATTACCAGTGTGCTCTATTTCTAAACCTTAACAGATAAAAAGTTTAGAACACAGGAAACCAAACAAATAACTAATTTCTTTTTAAATGTTAAATTTTAATCTTTTATGATGAATGTGATCTGCACCTAACTAAAATACGACATTTAATAGTTCAGATTAAATACAGTCAATTTTTAAACAAAATTTTTCAAATTAAAAGATTAACTGAAGTAGCTTGCTAGCACATAACTAGTAGGAAAAATTAAAAAGTAAATTTAAATCTATAAAGCAAGAATATAAATATACAGGGGCCGGGGAGATGGCTCAGTAGGATAAGTGCTTGACTGGCAAACACAAGGATCTGAGCTCAATCCCCGGTTCTGCAAAAAAAAAAAAAAAAAAAAAAAAAAGAGAATATAAATATACAAAGTCTACAGGTTGGGCCATGGTTTTAAATGAATAGAAACTTTTTAAGTTGGATGAAAAACAAATATGCAGTTCTGCTCATAAACTATAAATACCTAGCAACCGACATAAAAGATGGTTCAGTAGCCAGCAGGCTTTAAAACAGATTAATGGATTTAAACAAATCACAAATCAATGTGTCATGCAAAACATCTATCTACTAAAAAGGTATTTGTAAAAAAAAAAAAAAAAAAAAGGTATTTGTGGCCCAAATCAATAATGTATATTATGTAGATGAATAGCAATAATTAGCTTTCTCAAAGTATAGTATGATCAGACTGCTAAAGTTCTGAGTACTATATTTTAATAAGCAATCACTTCCAGAGGGCTACATATTTGGTAAAGGCTGTAGAAACTGACATATAAAAATTAGCTGGGGGCTCAACAGTAGAGCAGGTGCTTTAGACCACATCAGGCCCTGGGTACAATTCCCAGCACTAAATTTTTTTTAAAAAACTTTTAACTTACTGTAACTGAGGAGGGATGCTAAATCTTTGCCCAAATATTTTAAAAGCTATCACTTAGGAGAGAATATTGATCACATCTTGAATAGTTCCAAATATTCAATCAATGAAATGGGTTTATCTTAAAAATTAAGTTTAAACCAAGTTTGGTGGTACAGCACTCAGAAGGCTAAGGCAAAGGAATCACCACATGTTTGAAACCAGCCTAGGTTACACATAGTGAGCAAAAGGCCAGCCTGAACTATGAAAGCAAGGTACAGTATTAAAAAAAAATTTAAAAAAAAATTAAAAAATGTCTAGCTGAGTTCTATCAAAAAGGAAGAAAAGCTTCATGCACATGCTTATAATTCCATCACTGGAGAGGCTGAGACAGGAGGATCACTGTGAGTTTGAGGCCAGCCTGGGCTACAAAGTGAGTTCAAGTCCAGCCTGAACTACATAGCAAAACTATCTCAGAAAGGAAAAGTAGGAAGGGAGAGGGGAGGGAGGGAGGGAGGGAGGGAGGGAAAACAAACCAAACATGGTGGCTCATGCCTGTAATCCCGGCACTCAGGAGGCTGGGGCAGGAGGATCAATGCGAGTTCTAGGCCAGTTTGGGCTATACAGTGAGTTCAAAATCAGCCTGAACTACATAGCAAGACAGTGTCTTGAGGAGAGGAGGGGAGGGAGAAGAGCGGGGGAGGGAGAAGAGGAGAGGAGGGAGA